CTGGCAAGAAGGTTTAGGAACAAATGTTCTGAACTGATAGGGGCTGGCCCAGAGATCAGTCATATCACAGTAAGTTGAAAAAATAGTTATCAGCAACATGGTTGAAGTAAACTGAACAATAGGGACCTTTAGGTGTCAAACTTTGGCACTGCTTTTCAGATAGTAACATCATGAAAATGTAAATAAATTTCACATCAATACCGCAATACCATCATGTTTACTCATCTATTGTTTAGCTCCTTTACATCAACCTATCGCACATTTCTGTTAGTTAATGTATACATCCAAAACAATAAGCAATCGATCTGTACTCATATAATTCAAGATTATATTYAAATTCTAAGAACAAAACCTGAAATTATTTAGTGCAAAAAAAGATATCAGAATTTCAAAACTACAAAATATATAGGAAACATTCATTTCATTATAAAATCTTGCTAATTCAGCGGTTGATATCTCTTTAACCAATTATTATATCTATTTAACCAATTGCCTTTTAATTTTCAGGAATTGCTAACAGTTATATGGGCTTGATGATCTTGTGTCTTGAAATTCTATTTTTGACAAGTTTATTCAAATTAGCTAAAGAAAACGTAAAAAACATTGGTGCCCAACCATATATGATGATTTACAGTGATTTATGTTTGCAAAATGAAATTAAAGAGAAAATAAGAATCATATAATCAATATTTTTTTGAAGAGAGACAATATTTAAAATTTCATTTAATACTTGTGGATAAATCAAGAAATGGTTGCAAAACATTGTAAAAAAACTTATTTTTTTTCAGATCGCTAAGAAAGTCAAACCCCTTAAAAAGAAAGTGCGTGTACTAGCCCTTTCGATGGAATATACTCCTTCGAACAGTTAATCGAACTTGCCAAGGAGTATGATGAAATATTCCCTGTGAAGGTGGAGGACGTAAGTCCCATGAAAGTCCTCCCTTGTAAGGAACTGGCACCTCCCTGCAAAATCCCAGGTGCCTTTCGTCTGGCCTTAATACCAGATGGCCTTTTCTCTATAAGCGGAAAAGTACTTGGTAAGCATGCAACTGCTATGGCACAAAAAAACAGCAAATACTGTCTATTTTAGGATTTTTGTTTCGTAAAGTTTATTTTCTTTCTTTGAAATCTCGATAACATGTTTAATCAAGCAATAGCACGGTAATGCATTTTTAAAAKAATTTAATTTTCTTAATGAAAATAYCTTAAMTTTTATTTAATAGGTTTGAAGGATGTCTTTACTGGGCTTGAAGACAAACTAGAAAAGATTCAGGAGATTCTAAGAAAATTAGAAAAAACAGGTAAGATTTCATACATTAAATGTTGAAAACAATAACAATCCATGAATTAATAGAGGGAAACCCTTTTTGGAATAATCAAGCACCTATTCAAAGTGCATACAGCGCAGAGTGTGGGCTTTAGGCAGTTAACGGGGCGTGACTATGACGAGCATTCTTCACGTAATGATTGTTTTAGGCGGGGACGAGAGTTCGTCACGTATTTACTTTTTTAGGCGGGGACTAGAGTTCGTCACGTGGTAACTTGGTTTGGCGGGGACGAGAGTTCGTCACCTATGAA